TTAGTATATAATATTATCACATTAAAAAGTAATAATAATAATAATCTTCTTCTCTTTTTCATTCTTTTTAACTTTTTACGTGCTTTATTTCTGCCTGAACAATTTGATGAAAATCCATTCAGTTGTCATTTAGAATCTGAAAACTGCGGTTATATTTAATTAAATATGTATTGTAGATTTTTTTTTTTTGCATTCGAACTCGAAACGCTATTTGTTTTCTTTTAGACACAAAAACTCGACTAAAAGCTGTTTTTAAGATCATATTTTATTGAGAAATCTCAATGCAATAATCTCATTTTTTTACGACATTTTAAATGTCCTCAGAGATAAATTCCAATACAATAGTCGAAATTATTAATATAAAAACTTCTGTCCAAATAAAAAAGCACCAGTTTATGTCTAGAAAAAGAGCTAAAAAGTCAAAAGTTAAAAACCTGAATTTTGTTGGAAGTTTTGCATACATAAAGGATTTTGAGCAAATCTGACCAAAATCGCAGATTTTGATGCTCGTAATCATCTCATAGACACTTATCTCGCTTTTCTTCAGAATACGCCTGGCAAAAGCGTTCAGTTTGTAACCTTTCCAAACAAGTAACAAATTTCTTGAATTTTATTTATTTGTTCACGAATTGACATTTTCGGTTGTTCATAAAACGATAAAAAGATTTTGAAAATTCACCACTTTGAAAATTTCTTCAGGTTATCGACGTGTAAAACTGATGTCGCCGTTCTATGAAAATCAGATTTCATGCGATTTGCCATCCAGTAGGAAATCAATAGAAATGAACTAAAAATTACACAATACCTTTCAATTAATGGATAATAAATAAATACGAAATGTAAATGATGGCATTTGCTGATATTCATAAAAATGCTATGACATTAAAGATAATGTTAAAGCTATAATGGTGAAATGAAGGAGAAAAAAGCTGTCAAATAGGCTAAATTCTTCACGTTTTCCAGAAAATAAATCCCAAGCACGACCAGAAACATTTCCCGTACAATAATTCATAAGGCGAATTTATTATTAGCAAATGATACGATTGCATTCATCAAATCCGATCAGCAAGTCAGCAAATAACTCATTACCTGTCTAATGACAGCATCAGAATTAATGGGATTGTACCCGATGCGAACAGTAACCATTTGTCGGTGAAGAAATACGAATTGGTCCTGAACATGATAACGCATCCCACGTAGAGTGAGTTGAGAATACATGACTGTAAAGATAATTTTAACCTTATCAATTTGCTATTTTGTTGATTTCAAGATTACAGCACAAAATCCTCATAATTGTGCTAACTGTGTTAACGCGACTTTCCATCCCCAAATTAGTAACACTTGAAACTAATACCTATAATTCTCATGTTTAAACATGGATATAAGGCTGATTTTAGCGATTCTGATTTTCAAGCAAGCTTGCCTACTCGACCATAATATTACCTGTTTGAAGAATGACACGTCTCGTTCTTTGATAACACTAACAACGGAGAAAACCTTATTTTCTCGAATTGTCTGAAATAGAAGAAAAAGGTGCTTGGAAGTGAATATTTTTAACCTGACCTACGCATTGACCTGAAGGTTTACCTTATTGCTGATGCTAACATGCAATGAATCACTTATCAGAAGTAGACTTACCCTGCGATATTCAAGTATTTTTACTAAGGTAATGAAATCAATGCATCCCGTTGCCGCTATTATTCCTATCGATATTATGGTATCAGTGCAGGCACATATTTTACCATAGAAGGAATTTTGGTAGGAAAAGATATGGTTCCAGTTTCCATTAAATACAAATGAGCATCCTTCTGCAAATAGAATTGGTTAAATGAAATATTAAAAGCGTCTAATCCTTGTTTTTAGAATTCTAATGAAAGTTCTCATTTGGAAATGCCAATTATCTAATATTACCAAGTTTTTTAGTGTTTGATAATTGTCAGAATCTTTTTCGCTTGTAATAAACTTACTATATAACTGTAACATGCACAAGAACGTCCCTACTGTCCATGAAAAGATTCCAGCAGCGAAAGCCTTTGTTTCTGACCATAGTTCCTTGTATTTTATTGGATATGCAATAGCGCACAATCGACAAAAAGCGATCCAAACCACGCTCCGTTCACCAATACGTCGTATGGAAAAAATTGTTGATGACGATAATGTTGGAGGTTTTCTAAATTAAAAATTTTCAAACAAGGTAATTAAGAAATTGTGAGTGAACGAAGTAAATTTTTTCATAAAGCAACCGTAACTTACACGCTTAAGACGATAGTACACCATATCAAAAGTAAAACTATGGCTTCTAAGTTGCAAATTAGATAGCTGCTGCATAGAGCTCCAAATGCACTGCGGAAGAGTGATCTCGTACGTGTTATGTAAAGTGAGAAACCGTTGCTGAGCAGCCCAAATAAAGATACCTGCAATCCAATTCATCTTCGACAAATATGAGAAGTATTGTGTTAAGAACAGCTAGATTTATAGCTTCCAATTTTCTCCTCCATAACCGAAGTTGAGCTTTCTTCCTATTATAGATTCTAGCTTTCTATTTCCATAAATGATATTATCTCATC